TCTCTGTTGATATCTTTTTCCAGGTGCGCGTCACCTTCCTCCAGCGGAGCGGCTACGGCGGACTCTTCTTCTTTGGAGCACTGTTGCTATGGCGCATGTAACAGCGAGCACCAGCTCCGATACCAATGTAATCAGACTCGCTTTCTTCTTCACTTTCCATACATGCAAACATATGTCAATCCACGCTGGTGTTGTGCGCCCACACAAAGCTCAAAGATATTCAAGTCGAGAACACAGTTTGGATACATGTGGCGCCTAAGCGCTCACACATCCTCTGTCCGACACTGTATTCACGCAACCATTTGCACGCACTCAACTCTGGATCTCCCTGGATATCCCACGCACACAAACTCAGTACAAAGCACACACACACACACTGAACTCTATCTCTAAGCTACAACGGCTATGGTCGCTCCACTATTACTGGCTATGGACGAACTATCTCCCTTCAGGCCACTTCAACCTCGGGCTTCTGCAGACCACCTCGCACAAGACGCCTAGGCAGTGCTTCCGCATGGCTCACGCAGGAATGAATGAATGGCTGGACGCTGCCTTTTGATTTATACTTCTGTAAGTCGCTGGTCTGCCCTTTTCCACCGGGCCCATGATGCACACAGTCCCTCATGGTACTTGCTGACTGTACGAAGTGAGACTGGGACTGGGTACCGCTGACTAAGCGAAGTTCGACTCACCACTTGCCCACTTGCCTCTGGTTTGCTGTGAGTAACGTGGCCACTTCCAGACCTTCCAGAAGTCTGTGGACTTGGCCTTTCGGGACTGTAGCAGCTACGACCTTGACCTTTCACGACTGTAGCAGCTACGACCTTGACCTTTCGGAATTGCTACAGCTACGGCCTCAACACAACAATAACCCCTAGCCGACAGACGTACAGTTTAAGACCCGACAACTACACCGACCTATGACAGACAATAACAGACTCGTAAAACGCAGGTCACAGGTTCAAAACACACAGGGGTACTGTACAGGGGTGAGGAGAGGTCTAGGGATCGAGCCCTGGGATCTACATCTGTCACTGCGAAGGTGAAAACCGTTTCACTCCCGCCGGCCTACATTCGAGGTCCTCCGAGAATAGTTCAGTCCAAGGGTGGACCTTTATCTTTCTTCTCTCTCTCATAGGCTCGAACTACATTGGGAGCGGTCTCAAGAAGTTTTGTTCGTGTAAACAAGCAGTCGTCCTCTGGTTCCTGAAAAGCGAACCTGACCTTATACTGTTTCTGTGGACTGCCTCTACGTCTTGTTCAAAAGACATCTTCACCTTCGATGCCGTCAATGTCGTACCTTGCATTCATGTCCGGAGGAATCATGGATCTCCGTGATGGAAACTGTTGACTTGTGGTACAAGGCAACAACTTTGACGCATGAAAAACTGGGTAGGAGTGGAGGTGTGTTGGAATCTCGACTGTGTAGAACAGTCCATCCTCTCCGCCCTTTACTATTAGGACTAGCCACGGTCCTCAATATGCAGGCAACAACTTATGTGAGATGTTTCCTCGAGAGCAAACTCTTTTGACTTGACCCAAAATAAGTCGCCCACTTGGAACTGTGATGGGCGACGGTGCTTGTTGGCTCGCTCTATCATTCTCTGTTGGGCTTTCCTGAGGTTCTCAACTACCGTAGCAATCTCTTTCTCATGTTGTATCGCGAACTCCCGCGTAACTCGTTGGGAGTGCGACAAGTTGCTGAGTGCACGCTATTGTTGTATGCGCTGGCCACCTTCGGAAGCATCTCATCCAGTTAACTTGGTCAGGTCTAATATACATTTTGAGAACTTGCTGCAAGACTTTGTTCATCTACTCAGTCTGATCGTTAGTCTCTAGACGACGGCCAGATGACATCAACAACTTAGAGCCATAGACTCTCATTAACTCGGCCAGTTCTGACTAGTGAACCTGGTATCTCTGTCACTAACTATTGACAGCGGTAGACCATGCTCGTTGACCCAATGATCAAAGAACTTATCTATAACTAAATTTGTACGTGCCTCTGCGGGCAAAGGAAAAAAGACTGCATACTTACTAAATCTGTCAACTATAACCATGACTTGGCTCTTGCCATGCCTACTCCTGACCCCAACATCCATAAAGTCAATAGATACAGAATCTCCGGGTCTTGCGGGAATAGGTAGTGGTTTGAGAAGACCAAGAGGGGCTCGTGCAGTGGTCTTGTTCCGCTGACACACCTTGCAACTGCGTACGTACTCTATGCAATCGGCCTTCATGCCAGACGCGAACGAGGTTAGCCAATGTCTTTTGCCAACCAAAATGTCCCTCTGTATCATGGCATTCCCCTAAAATCAAGCTACGGATCTCCTCACTGTTGGGAACGCACAAGCGGTCAACTACGTTAGTTTTCTCGAATAGTAACCCATCCGTAGTGCGGTAGTCTGACTCAGACTCTGGAGACTCCTTAACTCTCTCGAGGAGATCACTATAGATAGGGTCCTGCGCATATGTGTCTTTAACTTTTTGTTGCAGGTCTCACCCTATATCCAGATAGTGAACTATCACTCCAAGGTAATCAGCTCTCTTGCTTAGAGCATCCGCGACTACATTATACTTTCCTTTGACTGGCTTGAGCTCAAAGTCGAACTGGTCTATCTTTGCGGCCCACCTAGTACGCTTAGGTGTCATCTTGGCCTGCGTCTTTAACCACCTTAGCGTCTCGTGGTCTGAATAGACTTTGAAGTGCCTCCCAAGCAAGTAGTGCTTCCAGTGGTCTAATGCTTGCCTGAGAGCGTAAGGTTCCCTCTCATAGGTGGATGTCGCTACCTTCTCTGAAGGCATCCTAGCATACATGAACTCTATGGGTCTATACTCATTGCCATCATCTTGCTGTAAGACAACACCTATGCGATACTGACTTGCGTCAGTGGTGACAACAAAAGGTAATGATGGATCGGCTACCTTGAGGATTGGGTACTCTATCAAGGCCCGCTTCAACTTCTTCAAGGTAGATGCACAATCTCTATCCCACTCCCAGATTGCTTCTTCACCAATCGCGCAAACGCAGGAGCACTGAGACATCAATGTGCCAAGGTGTTGTCTACTCCCGGCACATGAAACAAGCGAGCAATTTGATGGACTAGGGAGCCTACACTCGTGCTCTCTCAACTGGAGTGTGGCCCTTGCTGCCTCTCCATAGTCCATTCCCAGGACCATATCGAAGGGAAGACAGTCTTCTACGAGGAGAGTTAAGGAATAGAAAACTCTCTCTACCTTCCCATCCTTCTATAGGCGAAAGTACGCTTGAACTCCCTCTACATAATCCTCGACTCGCATAGTGTAGTTGTCTGACTATGGGGTCTTCTAACTTTTGGACCTTCAAATTTAACTTCGACTTATGCAGCACTTTCCTACTAATATAGCTGCGAGTGGGCCCACTGTCTATAAGGGCCCCTACTCTGCCTATAAAGACCTCTACATCTACTAAAACTAGTTGTCTTGGCCCAGGCCGATATTCTCTCCTTTAGCTCCTCTGCCAGGCCTGTGAGGGAAGTGCCTAGAGAGACTCTCACACAAGCAGTTTCCAAACAGCTATCTAGGCACTGGCCAGCAACCTCTGCCATAGACACGTGGGTTGGGAATTTCTTTGTGGTGCGTGCACTCTTCTCCACATGATCTAGGGGTAGGAGCATTTGCAACTCCTACCGGCGGTTGCTACCTGTGCAGCAAACCGGGCCTCTCTATACTTAGGGCAGTATTTAATAATATGCCTCGGATCACCACAATAAATGCACTAATCCTGGTTTATCCTTTGCTGCCATACTGTCTGCTCTAGGCCCAAATCTTCCCAGGGCCTGCCTTAGGCCCAAATCTTCTCAGGGCCTGCCTTGTGCTATCCACCCCTCCTAGGAGGTGACCGAGTAAAACGAGAGTGGTTTTGAGGGGGACCTTGACCCCTGCCTCCCACTTGGCGGTTTCCTCTGCCGCCAACCCCCTGGTCGCTCTGTCCTCGACCACTGGAGGCCTGGCTGCCTTGGCCCCGGCCTCCTCTCCCTTGCGGCCTCCCTCCAGCCGTGACAGCAGCGTAAGTCCTCCTCTGACTATCGTTATTGCCCTCCTCCTCTTGGGCCCATTCTATCTGTTCATATGGTTCGTCTAAAGTCAGAATCAGGTGATCCAAGGCCTTGACTTGGCCAGAGATGGTACGACCCTTCCATTTTTGGCCCTTGTCCAGATCCTTGTGCCAGAAGGTGGTAGGTGGCATGGACTGCGCCTCGAAAGCCACTACTTCCCTTTTCAAAGTATCGTAGGTCATAGTGGGTTCCTTGCTCTTGTCGAACAAGTGCCACCGCAAGGACTCAGGCATGGCATGATAAAATAATTGGACCAACTGAGTCTCTGTGACTCCATGGCCAGGGACAGCTACCAATTCATCCATTACTCCCTTGAGTGCCCTTGCACTCTTCCACTGACATGAGTGGACGGTCTGAAGCTTATCGGAGGCTATAATCCCTCTAGTAACATCAACAAATCTCTCACGCAACAATTCAAAAAACTTGCTTAGGGGTGTGATCGCAGAGTAGGCTACCATGTCATTATCGCACTTAGCTGCGTGGGCAAGCGATCTGGCGAAGCTTGCTGCTTCGTCCTTGAGAGCATGGAAAGCAATTAAAACTAGCTCCTCGGATATGATATTTTGGAGGTGAACATACAATTGATGTTCGCCTCCCAATTGTCAAAGTTCTCCCCCGTCTTCCATCTGTAGGGATCAAGGAACTTGACCTTGACTGGGTCCCTACGGGGATGTGCTTCCTCCTCCCTTGGAGCTGCTAGCTTAGCGCCCTCTATGGCGCCAGTGCTAAATCGTTCCGTGCTCTCCATTATTGCTCTCACTTCTGAGCCCACGTGCATCATCATCTCACAGACGAACTCTCTAAAGCCCAATCGTATGGATCGCAAGGCTACATCCTGTCCCTCGAAAACTGATACTGCTCTTATTGGGCCCTCGCCAAGAATTCGATATTCCTAGCCATTACCTCCATCTTTCCTTGCCAATCCGGTTGCACCTCCATCTGCGCCCTTTGCTGCTTCACCACCTCCAACTCCTTCGCAGCCTTACTCGTCTCCTCCATTCTCTTCTTTTTCTCCCTAGTCAGACGCAACTTCCATTCTAGCTTCTTTTCTTCTTCAAGCGTCTGGCGTTTTAAGGGGTCCTCTTTTGCCTCCCATTCTTTTACCACTGCTTCCTGTTCAGCCCTCAACACATATAACATCGCCTTTCCATTTTCACCCAAGGACAAGTTTGCAACCCACTCAGACACCTTCTTTTCCAACCATGGGTCCTCCTTCGTGCCACAGGACTCCCCTTTTTCTCTTATCACCTTCCTGATTAATGGGATGTCCTCCTCCTCCTTTTCTTCTTTCACCGCCTTCAACTTTGCCTCTTCTTCCCTCTTCAATTTTTCTAGCTCCTCTTCCAACTACTTCTTCTTGGCGGCTTGCTCCTCCAGTAAGGCCAACATTTTGGTCTGCTTCACAACTTCCCTCTTCTCCTTCCTGGCCTTTTGCTCGGCCAGAATCTTTGCAGCCTCCTCCTCTTGTTCCTTTGTGTAAGGAGTGGTCCGAGTACCGCCCCTCATCTCAACCCTACACGTCATGGTATTCCAAAATCCTAGAGGAAAGAGGAGATGCCAGAGGGTCCCCCAGAGGGAGAACCCCACGTGCAAGCCGTATATAGGGTAGTCGTCCATGGTGTCAGGTGTCCCACTCCTCACCACCTAGACCTACCCCCTTGACTGACCGACTGATTGTCTAAGGACCACAAAGCCTTTCCCTTCAATCCAGCCAGGTTACCACAACCGACGAAAGCTTTCGCCACCACTGTCCTTCACAAACCAGACCCAGATGCCCTGCACCTGCGGTCAATCCGAGCTGGCTTTCACTCCGGTTCAGGACCCTGTCAACTAGGATCTCTAGCCTAGACCTATCACTAAGATGTCACTACATGACTTCAACGTTGATCAGAAGGCATCTAAGGAGATCCCCCATAACTCCTCAGGAATTGTCTAACGTCGCAAATAGGACGACGCGATCAGCAAGTCCGCTCAACACTTGCACAGCTGGTTGTGCAGCCCAAAGCTCGGATTTAGGGCCTACCATGCCACACTGAGCAGCCCGCCGGTCTGTACCGGTTCTTGGGAGGGTTTGTCCTCCGGGTCAGTCAGTCGTAAGACACCATCAGAAAGAGGAGATCGACAGACTCAACAAGTACCATATGGTGAGTGCACATCCATAGGGTGAGGGGAGAGGATGAGGCTTGGCGAGAGTATACCAACTCCAACTTGGTCAATTTCGTGGTCAACAACTTCAGTCAACACTGGTCAACGCTTGGTCAACTTGCCAATCAACGCCCGCCAACCCCTTGGTCAACTTCTCGATCAAAGTCTTGGTCAACGTTGGTCAACCCCTAGGTCAACGCCCAGGTCGACCTTCAATTCGGCTATGGCTGTCGACCCCTTTCTTTCTCACCAACCTTCGATATTCAATTTCTCCCTCCTCCCTTCTTTCTCACTTTCTTCCTCCTTCACCCCGGCTATGTCTTTCTCTTTCCTCCTCTGTCTCTCCCTTCTTCTTCTTCAACTATGGCTTCTCTCTCCCCTTGGTCTCTCCCTCCTCCTCACTCAATCTTCTTCCTTCCTTTCTTACTCCGTGTTTGAGCTCGGCGGCTATGGCCGCCACCTTCTTCCTTGGACCGCACAACAATCTTGTATCGCTCCTCCTCCTCCTCCCTCTCTCTCTCTCTCTCTCTCTCTCTCTCTCTCTCTCTCTCT